CCTGTCCACTGATGGAAGTTAAGTGAACAGCTGTTGACAATGAGCCTGTAGTCAGAAGACCTAAAGTCAAAATAAAGCTTCAGATACCTACTGTCTGTGTCATCCAGGGCAAGTCATTTAACCTTTGTTTGCCTCAGTTTCCTTAACTGAAAAATGGGAATTACAATAGCACCTACCCTGACGGATAGTGAGGATCAAATGAAATATTTGTAAAAGTGCTTAGCCCAGTTCCTGGCACACAGCAGGTGTTATAAAAATGCTTACTCCCTTCCCCTTCCTCCCAACTTAAGGTCATAGAGTAAGTACTATGATTAGGTGTAGAGCCTAGATCACAATTCTAGTCTTTGGTCTCCAAATCCAACCTTCTTTTCACTGCACTGGTTATCTTGGTAGGGAGATAAAAAAAATCACTCTCCTTTAACTTGTTCATTTTATGTTGAGTAAAAGAATATTTGGCATATAAATTTCCTAGCAGCCCAAGGTTTCTGGAGATGTATATTGAGGGAGGGGTGGAGGAACAGTAAAATTAACCTCCCTAAAAAATGACTATGAAACAGAATAACATCCCTGTAATTCTATGGACCTATGTGTCTGTGTTTGTACAGAAAGGCCTCCCCCAAACAATTCAGTTCATAGCCAAATTTCCCACAACTGTGATTCCACACCAAACTACAAGAGGTCGATTTATCAAAGATGCAACAAATGAGGCTATGATCCTTAAAAATAAATGTGAAGTGTGAATAAAGTCACAAAAAGCTCAAGTTCTACAGGGCCTTCCATTTCTTAAAAGTAAATAAACTGAGGAGACTTTTGAAAGCAATAGAAAGTAGTCACACTCTCTCTCTCTCTCTCTCTCTCTCTCTCTCTCTCTCTCTCTCTCTCTCTCTCTCTCTCTCCCTCTCCCTCTCCCTCTCTCTCTGTGTCTTCTTGAGATCATCTCTCTTGGCTTCTAGATGGATCCCCTGACCCACTGCAATGTCACGTGTAAAATAATCCATTTATAAAGGGCCTAAAAGACTGTAAAAAGGTAAAACTAACTACAATTACCACCCTCAGAAAATGAATAAATGATGTTTATAAAAAGTCAGGGATGTTAAGAGGTTAAGGTAGGATCAAAAAGATGATTTATGAGTAAAGAAAACAAAATAAAAAATAAACGAATTCATGTTTCCCTGGGCCTTTCATTCAGACCAAATGATGTGGAGCTATGTTCCCTAAACGTAATTTCAGGCTAGAGATGTCTTTATTTTCCCCCAGACAAACTGGAAGTTAAACAGGATGACAAAGTATATTTGCTCTGGGATAGTGAAGGAACAAAGAAACTTCAGAATGGCATTACTCATACATCTGGCCTGAAATACCTCCAAAACACAGAAGCAGACAAAATCCCAGAAAATGAATTGAGTATCACAATCCTATCCAAAGGTTTTACTACTAATCATAAAATTAAAACACTAGGCATACACACAAAGGGCCAAGTCGAAACAGGACCAGGACTAAAATAACTTTAAAAACAAATTACACTCCACACAGATACTATTCTTCAGCCTACAGATGCCCACTGCCACCAGAGGCGTCACCATCATGATACAAACAGACATTAAAAGGAGCAACTCATGAGCGTTCACCTCTTTTTACAAAAGTTATGGATTGTCAGTACAAGTATAATTTCAATGCTTTCATTTTTTCTCTTCAATACTCTACTTTGGTGAGAGTGAAGATACAACAGATTAAAGATTAAAGACAACATATTCATTTGAATCTACAATACCACCAACCTTTCAAACTATTTCCACCAATCTAAAAGGCATCACATAACCCTAACAGTTCACTCTGGAATATATTAGGAGTGTTTTGCTAAGTGGACCAGTGAGTTAATGTACTAAATGTGCTAAAGTACCAAATGCACTACAGAAAACAACTTACACATATTAAAATAATAATAGCTCATGTTTACATAGCACCCTAGGAAAATCTCATATCCACATTTTAGAAAAAAACAGTATTTCAATTTAAAAAAACCTTACCTAAATTAGCATGAAATACCTCTGACAATACAAAAAGTTTCTCTGAGACCTCTGGACTGGAACAAAATAATGTTGAGACAGAATTGCCAACAGATTAGAAAGATAAGTAGATAAAGACAAAGAGTATGTATATGTCTATTTTTCAAAGCATAACCTTTAAGAACTCCAGAAAATCCCAGATAATTAGTGGTTTTTCCCTAAAATATATTCTTAATATCTAGGAGTTTCCCATCCTCCAAGCAATTTAAAAACAACTTCAAAACACCCCAGGGAGAAAAGTAAAGATAGATAAAATTCTGCTATCCATTATTTGCTCAAGACAGGCCAGCTATGTCTAATGAATGGAAGGCAGAGAAGTTCTCAATACCACACCAAAATACTCCTCCAAATCAAAGACAACAGGTCACAGAATCTCTGGGTTGGAAGAGTCCTCAGATCATTGTGCTAACTGAAATCCTGTCTTCAAAATACCAGAAAAGTGGTCACCCAGTCCTGGGTCAGAAGACTTAGGGGGCCCTTTGTGAGCCTTGTTCTAATCTGCAGTCTTCCCAGGTTTCACAATTCTCTTCTGTTCCACGCTCCAAAGCAAACCTTATTTCCACTTTTACCATGCTTTTAAAGTACTTCAACTGTACCTGACGACTGCATTACTTGTGGTCTCTGTCTTACATCACAAATTCAAAATTGTATTTGCATATGATTTTATGCTTTTAAAAGTACTTTTACAGTTATCATTTCATTTGAAACTTACAACTACCCTATGAGGTAGGTAAGTTATACAGGTGACTGAAAACTTTACAGAAAGATACACAGATCTACAAAAAGTAGAACCTTAGTATATTCATCCAAGTAGTCTATTGCCAAAAGGGAGTTCCCAAGTAATATGTACTATGCTAGGGGAGAGTCAGCCTCAGAATATTAAGTATTATCCCAGCTTTGCTTAGTAACCAACTGTAATTCTGTCACTCACAAGTGTATCCAAATAACTTCTCATTTTAAAAAATATTACCTTTTTGAGAAATGGGCTCCACTAAATTTATTACTATGATAAGTATCATTTCTTTTTCTTTGTATCAAACTTAAATCAATCAAATCGCAAGGGTTGTACACACACACACACACACACACACACACCAGTATTGTTAGGGACTGAATCAGACGTTCACCAAATATACCACAATCACAATTGTAGAGATTTCGATTAAGTTTTCCCAATCAGTCTTCCTTTGAAGACCTTAGACTCAGTATTTCCTCACACACAGATCTCCCCTTCTCTACTTTATTCAATACTTTTAAATTCTCTTTACACTTTATGAGTACCTTGAGGGGCTGATTCCAAAATGAAAATCTGCTTATAGCTACTAAAGCTAACACTCACGTGAGGTGACCCTCCTCAGCTCCTCCAATGCCTTCCCTCAGCGATCACCTCCCATTTACCTGGTAGAGGTCTTCTGTGTACATAGTTTTTATATTGTCTCCCACATTAGAACACGAACTCCAAGAGGGCAAGGAACCAAGAGGCCTTTCTTTGTGTCCTTAGCATTTATGACAGGGCCTCCAAGGTGATAAGCCCCAAATGAATGTTTTTTGGCTGATGGACTGAGAGTTCTTGAAAACTAGAGATGGGAAAAAAAAACAAACCAAAGACCTTTTGCTCTTCTATGGCCAGTACTAAGACTCCAGTCAGGAAAGAACTGAATTCAAACCCTTCCTCCATCATTTATAAGTTCTACAACTTGGTAAAATACTTGAAGACCTCACAGGTGCATTGTGAGGCTGGAGAGTGACATTAAGTACGTGCATTAAAACATTATGTAAATGTCAATGTTATTATTATTTCTTTTCTCTTGCAAACCAACATGGCCCATAGCCAAGAGAGACATACCCTGTAGCACAGAAAAAAAGCTGGGCTAAAACGCTTTGTGTATTTTAGAGGCTCTCTTTTCCCAGGTTACAAATGATCAGTTATTTTTTTTTGGGGGGGGAAGCTATATTAGCCTTTATGAAATCCTACTAATACCCTTTGATTTTATTAGTCAATCAAAAATACTTTGAAATACAGACAGAATGAGTTTTATCCATAAAGACCACAGCCTTATGCTTGACCATTAAAGAACATTTTCTCATCTATCTGAACTTTGTGTTCTAATCAACGAGAGAAAAATAAGCAGAATAAATTTTGACCACAAGATGTTAGTGATTAAAAAAAAAACCACAAAAAATCCCAATCTACTCAAGTCTGGCATTTGATGGAAAAGCACAATAAATCTCAATAAAAGTATCATGAACTCAAAAAGAAAAAAATGAAATTAACTAACATTCCATCAAAGAGGGGAAAGGATTACTTAAATAAGTCTGTGATCAGGCCATCAAGAATAGCTAACAAATACAATTTTAAACTAACAGCATGATATAAATAAAAGCAATAATCTTGAAATTAAAACACACACACACTACAGTTAGTCATTAAGAGTCAGGCTTAAGAAGGGGGAAAAAGGTACAACAAAGCAGCAAAATATACTATTCTAGTATTAGTTAACCATCAGTAGTAAACTATGTTGCTATAAAACGGTCACATTAATTTAGCAATGACAAACTTCAACAGGTGCCCGGAACAGTCATGCCTAGGGCTTTACATATGAAATGAAACATACATATCTTGGGTAACAACAAATGTTCTCTGGTGGGCAGGGTGAAGAGAAAGACAAGACACTGTCTCTGAAAAAGGGATAAGGGAGCATATTCTCTGCTGGTAATTGTCAGATATAGAGATATTAACAGATAAAAAGGTCATGCAAATAACCCCTTCTTTTTCTTCACCGAAGTATACAATCTAGGAATAACTTAAAGGCAAAAGAATCAAGCCTGTTCCTTCTAGATTTTAATGAATTCCAAAACAATAAACAAAAAAAGAACATCCTACTTCATCAAAATAATTCAGAAAAGGTAACAATTTTTCATTCCTTTTAATAGGATTCCAAGGCCCTCTTGTACCCTTGTTCTGAGCACCAGAATGCGAAAATGAAAGTTTTCCATAGTCCATCTTGACAAAAACACTTATGGAGCAAGGAAAACGCTGGTGACTACATTGCTCAGTAAGAATAACAGGAAGAGTTCTTCCAGATCTTAAAAGTGCCTGAAAATCTTCAAGCAGAACTAGAGCAGGCCACCAATTTAGTTGTCACTGGAAGGAGGCAATTCAACAAATATTCACTGAGTGTCTAACACGTGCAAGGCCTTCACTGTGTCAGGTACTGGAATTAATTTGGGGGTTTTAAATAGCAATACATTAGTGAGGTTAACAACATTACTAAAAGAGAACACAGAGAGTCTTATCTGCTGATGGACTCAATGTTACTCAGATCAATTTTTTTTATAATAAAAATCTCAAATATTTTTTGCAACTTCTTTCATTTGTATTCTGAGGGTAGTTCTCTATTGTTAAGCAATACTAATTCTTACTGTTATCCTCACACGTCTGGCAAATAAAAGTTTTAAAGCTTAATTTTATGATCATCACTTTCCTGTTTGTAGGAATGGAAAGCTTAATTCACTAGTCAAATCCTACCAGATAGGTAAAAATCTCTTCTATTATCATATTTTAAATAACTATTTTAGTGAATATTTATGGCCCAGAGCCTGAAAAATGAAGACTGCTACAGATGAATTACTGAATAAAACCATTATGTTCAGCATGATTATGGAAAAAAAACATAATAAAGGATGTAGAGCTTTCAACAAAGCATGCAACAAGTACAATCTCACTCCTTTGCATGTAGTTTCCATGTCTATGGCAATCTGATGAACTAAACATTCAAAGAAATGCAATTATTTGGTTTTAAAAATAATTTTATGTTAACTACATACTACTAAAAATCTCCAAGATAAGAAGCAAGATAGTACGTTGTGAAAGCGCAGTGGAGTTAAGTCAGAGGGTCTGGGTTTCAATCTTGGCTCTGGTATAAGGCCTCAGTTTCCTCATTTACAAAAGAAAGTTGGACTGGACAATCCCTAATGTCTCTTTCACCTCTAAGTCTGATGAACCAATGACTAGCTCTTTGATAAAATTAATTCTCACTATCATAACTTTTGAAGTTTATTCTTAAATGTACTGATGAGCTCATCAAAATGTTCCCTTCAACCAGATTTATACCCCATTTTGAACCAATTAAAAAAACTACCCTGTAACTTTCAGCAAATGAATTAACTTCTCAAAATCTTAAATTTTCTCAAGAACAAAATAAGGAACCGCATTAGATGACCAGAAAGATCCTTTTCTATAATGCAATCAACAAACATTAAAATCCAGCCTCAGATACTTACTAGCTGTGTGATCCTGGTCAAGTCACTTAACCCTATTTGCCTCAGTTTTCTCATCTGTAAAAGGTGCTGGAGAAGGAAATGGAAAACCACTCAATACCTCTGCCAAGAAAACCCTAAATAGTCTGACACAACTGAAATGACTGAACAACAACAACATACAGGGAACTGTAACTGAGATTCCACAATTCAATGAAAAGATCACACAACCTGAACCTGGCTCAAACTCAGATCTAACAACAGCAATGTGAATAAATACAATAAGAACTAATTAGGGGGGAAAATGAAGAAAATAAAGCAATCTATCCAACTAAACTGTACAATACTGCAGCAGAGGGGGAAAGAAGGAAAGAAAATTAATTATACATAATCACCCAGAAGACAGTTCCTTTCAGATTCCATGTAGAAGGCCCTTTTCAGAGGTTTGTCCCAAAGCACTGAGAAACAGCTCACCCCGACCAAGGTGTCGCAGTCAAGACAGTCTTTAGGTAGCATATGGACTTAATACGAAATGAAATCAATCTCTAACTGATATGCAAGGAGAGCCAGTCAGAGCATGGCAAGGCCACTGGAGCTTTAATTGTTTCTTAATCAGAAGAACCAGGGCCATTTACAAATCATCTATTACAGTAACTGTTTTCAGGTCTTTCAAGTATACCTATTCTTAACATTATAATCAGATGCTGTGAATCAGCCATGTCATTCTGATGTCAAGTAACTGGTTACTTACAAATATCTACGTTCATTCAAACGTTATCTAAGTCTGTATAGATCTCATGGTCTGAAAAGTTCCACTGTCATATATAAAAGAAGCTTTAAAAGTATATTCCTGTCACTTTTTCTGTTTTTTAAACCAGCTTAATTTAGGGTTAAATAATAAGCGCCGTTCCGAACATCTGCCACGTTATAAGGCTGCCAGGGTTGGGGCACACTTTTATTCCTCTTTTTTCCCCTAGACTGGCCCTATGATTTCAATAGTAGGAAGCTCCTTCAATCAATACAGAATGATGTCCCGGCTCAGCAACTTATAGTCTTTGTGGCCTGGAGCACTGAGAGGTTAAATGATTTAGTCAGGGTCACACAGACAGTTATGTGGTAGAGACAGGATATGGACCCTTATCTTCTTGATTCCGTGGCATCAAGGTCAAACACCACACTAATTCACTAATACTACACTACTTCAAGGTTATCTGCCAGAGCCCAGAAGAGTCTCTGCTGAAAATTAAATATTCTAAACATACTGTAAATGCTCAAGGTTAAGTATAGTTTTACAATGCCCAGACCATCTAGAATACTATTGAATCCATACTAGGCACTCATCAAATACCTGTTGATTGACATTGCTATGCCACAAATACCATTATTTTTGTAGTAAAAGCATGACAAGTAGAAGAATTTAATGTCATAATTGGATATTCACAGGTTAGACTCTAAAATAGTCATCAATATGTATGTCATGAATGGAAGTGTCTTATGACAAATTTGGACAATAGAGTATATATAATGTTATCTAAAAAATGATAGAATTACTACTATCAAGAACCTTAATTCTCCTTCTTCCCCTAGATATATTAGGATATTTACGCTATAGGTTCAAATGTGATATGTAAATCTGAAAGTCTCACTGACAAGAATTATTAAAATATTACGTACTGAGTTATTAGGCAATTTTGGCCTGTGTTCTTTCACCACTCAATAACTGTAATTATGAAACAGAAACATCTGGAGTACAGAAAGAACCTCTTTATCATATCTTCATATCACTCATATATGAAAATAATTAAAAATATCATAGTTAATTCAATAAATCTATTGTAGGATGACCCTCGTGAAGGGATTCTACAAAAGTTGTATAACTCAATAAAGAAACTTCTGTTAAATGTTAATTGAAGATGTAAGGAAATATCCCTTTTAGGGAAATGACTGTTCAGCTAGTTTTTTAAAAAAATTTTATATAATTTTCTCATTTGATTCAAGTGTGTGGAGAAAGTATATGGATTCAAAGTTTCATCTCTTAGGGGAGAAATTTGAATTATTAAGATATAAACGTTATGATACAATGGCTAGAGGGGCTTGTCTTGAGAGTCAGGAACACCTGGGTCAATTCCAGCTTGGCATACATTAGATATAAGACCACGGGCCAAGTCCTAACTTCTCCATAACCATGAGAAAAATCTCTAAGCCTGTAAGTTACAAATCTGCATCAGCGGCTGGAGTTTCCATACCCAAGTTTTCCAAACTGATGAAATCACAAGCCTGGACAAAAACAAATGACACTGCATTGGCAACACACCTTTGGATTAACTCAACACACCAAAATGTGGCACAGAGAATCATTGATTTAGAGGAAGGCACTTTTGAGGTCACTGAGTACAAACCCCTTATTTTATAAAGGAAGACACAGACTCAGAGGGATTAAGTTTCTTGCCCAGAGTCACATCGGTAGTAAATGGCAAATCCAAGCCTCAAGCCAACTCCACATCCAGTCCTCTCTCCACTTTACCAGGCCGTCTCCCCACAAAGAAGTGCAACAAAGTCAAACAATTCAAGAATACGTCAGAGCCCCTGAATCTCTCCCCTCCCAATTAGACCACCAAGTATCTAAGTCTAACACTGGGACCAATGTAGTCTTTCAAAAGACTGTGGACTGATAACGCTGATATTCTACATATAACAGTTTCAGCACTGAAGTGAAGAGCCCAGGAGTTTAATATATATTTGAACATCCACACATTAGACACCACCTTAAAAAGAAACGTGTTCTCTTTGCCAAATGGTCACATTCTAGAAGTGATGATCCCATAAACATAAGTATACTCTTCAATTTTCCCCAGAAACATGTTTAGACACCTAAGAGCCATCAATTGATCAGAATGGGCAATCTATGGAAATAGTCTACAACCCCTTCATACCTGACGAGTGACTGTGAGTTTCTGTGGCCAAAAAAAGTCATCACCCAGTAACAAAACTTTCTGGTAATGAGCCTCTCTGAACTTGGCTCTTGGACAAAAGATACAGACCACAGCCTGGCCTACAATCAAAGCCTTTCCAGCTCGACCTACCAGAGCTTAGGTTCTGTTGATAAAACTTTCAAAAACCCAGGATCACACCTCTGTGCTTCAGCAAGGTATCTGAGTAGGGAGCAGGTACATGTACAATTAAACAAAGTACAAACCCAAATAAATAAATGTGTAGTATACATACTTGTACGTGTGTATTACTTATGTGTCACCCAGAGATTTACCCATTAAAAGAATTGGGGAAAAAAACATGGAAACAGTTCATAGTTTACATTATTAAACATATGCTTGAGATTGTGATATGAAAGCAGAGTTTAGGAAACCTGTTCCTTTTCACAAGCAAGCACATAAAGTTCACTTCACCATTTTGCTAGTCTAATAATTAACCTTGAAGTAGTAATTTCATTGTCTTGAATAAGCCTTGATCTTTAGAGAGAGAAAGAGACAGAGACAGAGAGAGAGAGAGAGAGTCAAAACATCAATGAACCCTGCTCCTGCTCTCTCTAAAATAACTCCCAATGGACTTTTGGACATATTTCTGAGTTTATCAAGTCAGATATACTTCTTAACTATTGTAACACCCAACTATTGCTGAAGGGCATGTCATACTCCTACATTATACAAACACACAAATTAGCATTTAGCAGATGGTAAGAATTTTATTTTCTGGAGATTTCTGACTTTCCCTGCCATTTTGAGATCTTTAAATGGTTTGAACCAATAGATCATTGATAGATAAGAGAGAGATTTTTTTTTATTAATAAAAAGAAAAAACAAACAAAGCCAATTCTAGAAACTGTAACCCTTCCAACAACTCATCTACAGACACCATAGACTATTAGGTAAAAAAGTCAATACCATGGCTAAAATTTGTCCTATAAAATCACATTGTGAATTCTGACATAAGGCTGCCTATTCAAAATTAGTCTGTGTCCTCACTCTACAAAAAAAAAAAAGAAAGAAAAAAAAAAGAATAAGATGCCTTTTCTTTCCAATTCACCTGAAATGTAAAGCTTATGTGCTGAAGAAAGATAATTCATACAAAATCACCACCAGATAAGCCGGGATCAGATCACAATGATCTTAAGATCCAGTTAACACATAAAACACAAAAGTAATTGTATTGCTCTGGGTCTCCCTTTAATACTATAAATCTTTAGATGCAACAAAGATACAGATAAAAACACCAAAGCATCATGATATCAAAACTATAAAAACTTCTCCTCAGCAACTCTTTCTTAAATACAAACACTAGTTGCTGAATATTTACAGTAGAATGTACTTCTAAAGTTTGATCAATTGGAAATCAGTCACTTTCTAAAAAGGAAACATAATACTCTTAATAAAAGGAAGACCAGTGAAATGGAAAATAGTATTAGCCAATTTTACCTTTTAAAACTTATTCTGCTAATTTACTTCAGTTTAGCTGTCTTAGGTTGCACTAAAAGTAATTCTTCCCATTACACTCATTTATTTTTAATCCACACATTTAAATCACCTAGATCACCAAGAATTCTCCCAAGTAATGTAGACATTTGTTAAAATGTAAATAAATCCAACAATACAAGCTTTGGTAACAACTAAACTCATTATCTTAGTACACAAAACTCGTCCTTCAAGCATACTTCCCTGAATAAATCAAATATGAACAGCTACACTCTGTACTTTACATTTTTCTAACTTTATAGTCACATTTTCAGCACTTAGGTCAGTTAGGTTAAGATTTCACAAAAGCAGTAAACTTCAAAGCTTAGAAAATTTTTTTGAAGTTTTCACAATATACTTTTGAATTTGACATACTCAACAGCACAAATACCACAATAAAAAATAACACCATTCATACTGATCTCCCTTAAGAAGCACAAAAATCAATGTATTTACAAATCAAAACTCCATGACGTTCCAACAACTATTTTTTTCTCTCATAGTTATTTAATTTGCCTTAGACAATCTTTATTTTATAATAATCCACCTATGAAAGCCAAAAAAGAAATGGCTTGCCTGTTTTGCTCAACAAACATCCAGGCACATTTATTAATTTCTCCACATTGTCCTTAATTTAAAAAACAAACAAACAGAAACACCTCTGTTACATACCTGCAGTTCGGAGGTGGATCAAGGGTTATTTCAGCTAGCTCTTTCTGAATTCTGTTGGTGAAATGAGAACAGACAACAAAGCATTGGAGATAGTCTATAGAATAATCAGGGAATTACACTGCCCTCTACCAACATGCAGTTAAATGCAAGACTGGCTTTGCCTTCAGTAATGCTAACATGGCTGCTTCCTCTTTGTTCTCAGAGGCATAACCCAAATCCCATAACAGAAACTTTGCAGCTTTTTTCTTACTTACTACTATAAATAAATGAGACGTGGGCACCTGATTTGGGTAGTAATCTTCCACTAGCATTGAATAAAGTGAATAAAATCCATTTTAGAATACTTTTTACTTAAGAAATTCTGTTTTCAAGCTTATATGCAAATGAGACAAGAAGGGAGGAGGGAATACACTAGAATATTTGACAATGACTTTAAACGAGTTTTACTGAGGCAGAATTAACAAGCTACAGCAGGGAGCACACAAATAGTTTTGACAATATTTTATCTGTTTCTTTGTACCTAAAAATGTTTACAAATCAATTGGTGGAAATTTACCAACATTATCACATGAGCACTTTGAAGGATTTTTACTTTTAGCATTTGACTGAATCTCTTTCCCACATCCTAAGTACAGTACTCAAACTGAAAAGCGCATTTTCAGATTACAAACTAAGCATGTGTTGTAGCTTCAGACAACTTCAGAAACTTGACTTTTCCTTTCCATTTTTGTCTTTCAAAAAATGTTTGATGCTTTGATAACTTTAGAATTGTTTAATAAGTTCTCTGACAACAGGCTACAACAAAATGAATCCTTTATGTCAATAGATTTTAACCATTTGAAGTACTGCACACATTTAATGAAAATGATCTCCAGATTATGGTGACTTAGAGAAAAGGTAAATAGGTGTGAAACTATATAAACATTATCCCTGAAGCTTTGCAAAACTGATGAAGTTAAATAATTTTTCCCCCATTTTCTATGTACTTTTGCAGACATTTAAAAATTACTGCCTATAAATAACTTAAATGTTGTTAATGATACGACTGTGTAAGTCTTCAGAGACAAGGAATAATCATATGGGTTAATGACTCTCTTCTGCAACTTCATCACTGATGGATTTCCATTGGTAGAATTTGTTTTCCACACCCATCAAAGCATAATATAAATCAGCAGAAAACAAATGCTTTTTTCCACCCGACATATGAAAATATGGATTTTTTTTTCCCTACTACAGATCCACGTGAATGTGGATAGTCAAATGCATCCACAACTTTCCTACTGAACAGGCAAAGGGGCAATGTAAGCTCTGAAGTGACTTAACTGGAAAACTCACCTTCCAGTTTTATTTGCTCTTGCATAACAAAATGCAAGATGATTCTACTTAAATGCAAAAACGAACTATAAAGCATTTTAAAGCCTTTCTTTTCCAAGGCAGAAGGTGATGACTAGTTTAGCTATAATGATGCTCAATATTTTTTAGGACTTGACATCTTTTCTTTTTTTAGAGAAAACTAATACCTTTTACATGTCAATAGGATCACACGGAATTCCAAAAGATTTCTAAAACTTATGAGTTACTGCTGACCTGAGTCTCTATTATACAGAAGTTGAGAAGGCAGAGTAAAGGAGTAAAAGCAACCTCAAAGCATCATCTAATTTGAGAATACATAGTTTTCCTTCAGGAACTATATTTACTAAAATAACAACAAGGGTTAGGGTACGTGACATTATATCTCTACAGAAACACTCTTTTACTCAAGCCAACACGTTAGTGAAGTTTCCTTTAAGGTGTCCTTTAAGGTCTCATATACAACCTAGGGAATGGCAACTTTCATTTAACAAAAAAAAAAAGTTTGCAACTTAGTATTTTGGTTTCTGTATTTAGAGTTAATATACCTGAAGTTCTAATCCACTTAAAATACAGTTTACAGACTTCACTTCAAAAAAAAGCAAACCACCTCTCATAGGTATTACCTTTTAGCACTAGTGGATAACTTAGCAGTGGTTTTGCTAGACAGTTTGGTGTTTTTCTTCTGCTGGGTAGCAGACGGTTTTCTTTCTTCTTGTTCCTCAGGTTCTGGTGCTGCTGGGTCCCTCTGATCTGCATCTGAACTACCACTGCTGGTACTTGGACTTTCATCATCTGACCTTTGCCTATCACTGGACATCTTGGTCGAGTTATTTCTCTGAAAACTTTTAAAAGAGAAAAGAGAAAAAGGGTTAAACCTGAAGAACAAATTCCATATCATTTCCTTCTGCAAAATGTTTCCTAAAATCTGTCCTTTAAATGAAAAGCCTTGAAAAGTGTCTATACACTTATCTCATTGTTACTGCAAGGTTACAGAGGGAGGTGATGTATATACCAGAATGCCAATATTTAAAGATTTACAGAACTCAACTTGGAAAACCCACTCACAATTTTTTTCGTCCCTTGGACAATCTATCAATTGTCTACTTTCTCAGAAGGCACGAAACAGATTTGCCAGGGAACTTAGGCAATGAACATTAATAACATATGACACATTGTAAATAACAGACCTCGCTGAAAAATGTTAAAAAGTCACTAATAACGTCTAAATATTTACACATTTACGTTGGTCAGAGCTACCAAATTCCCTCTCTGAAGGAAAAACATGTCCTGTTAATCACCCATATGCTTCCTAAACGTGGCAACAACCCTTTTCTCTTTGCATTTAAGCCTTTAAGCACGATACCTCCCCCCTCCTCCCCAAGGAAAAAAAGGGGGGGGGACTAATAAGCAGCCTCCTTCGTTTACACGGCCAGCAGCAAAGATTCATTTGGCCACCACAGGGCTGCTCCACAGTGAAAAGCAAAATTCAAACTGCACCTTCTGCAAAGCTCCCAATGCCACCGTTCCTTGCTCAGTTTTTATATTACAGACCGACATTTTGGCCAAAAAAAAAAAAGGAACAAAGCCCCCTCCCCCCCAAAAAAGAACTCTGGACAGGATTTGAAAGAGAAAAAAAAAGAAAAGCTTTAGATAAAAATATTGCAGCAGCAGCAGCAGCGGCGGCGGTGGAAATGCAGCTTTGCAGCCCCCTTTGTGGGGAGGGACAGGGAGAGGGTTTGTTATGGTAGGAGGCAGCGCTCCAATATCAGCATGGTGTGTGCACCAAGTGATGCGTGAAGTCAGTCCTGGCTCCTCGGGCTCCCGGAGACCGACAGGGCGAGCGCTGAAAACAAGAACAAAGCTCCCTCTGCCCCCCCTCCCCCCCTCCTACCCCCACCAACCAACCCCAGCTCGCCCCGGCGGCGGCTGCTGCCGCTGCTGCTGCTGCTGCTGCTGCTCCTGCCGCCGCCGCCGCCGCTGCTTCTGCCGCCGCAGCTGCTGCAAACCACCCCCCCATCTCTCACCGCCCCCCCCAAAAAACCCTTCCAGCTTTACCTTCACCGCCGTCCTGTCCCGCTTACACGCAGCTAAGATGTGGGGGAAGGAGAGAGGAAAAAAAAAACCCTTCCTTAAGGAAATGGAAGCAGCCGGGAGGGGGAAGGGGGGGGAGGAAAAAAAAGAAGCAGAGGAGGCTCTGGCCGGGGAGTGTGGAACATTGAAAGTCGGAGGGGGTTGTGTAGTGCGGCGCTCTGGCCGGAGGGTGGCGCCGCCCAGCGCCTTTGCAAAAAAAAAAAAAAAAAAGAGGAGAGAAAAGAAAACGGGGGTGGAGGTGGGGTGGGGGACGGAGAGGGGAAGAGGGGAGGAGGAGGCGCCGCTGCTGTGCGAGGGCGAGAGCTCCCCGGGAGCCCAGATGGAACGGGGGAGATCCGAGAGTTCTACGGCCTCCCCTGTCCCCGCTCGCCTCCTGATCGGTGCAGTCAGCAAGTTCCCTGCGAGCTGGGAGGGAAGGGGAGGGGTGCGGGAGGGAAGGGGAGGAGGAGGGGAGGGGGAGGAGGAGGCGGCGCGCGTGCTCGCTTGCCTGGCTGTGGGGCGCGCGCCGGCGGCCCGGGCTGGCTCCCTCCCGTCGTTCGCTCTCTCTCTCTCCCTCGCTCGCTCGCTCTCTCCCGCCCCCCCTCCCCCCAACGCTTCCCTTCACCCGGGGGGCGCACGCGTCCGCCCGCCTGGGCCGGCCAAGGACAAAGAGTGCGCCGCCCGCCGGGGACAGGGGCGGACTGGCCCGAAGGAATGCGCCGGGCCGGCCAGCCAGCCAGCCCCGGGGAGGGCGGGGGCACCAGCCCGAGGGGCCAGAGGGCCGATTTTGCAGCAGGGTGGTTTCCGGCCTGCACCACTCAACTCTCCCTACCCCACCGCCCTTCCCGGAGCTACCCACTGGACTACCCACCCCTCGGGTCCGCGCGGGGGAGGAGGAGGAGAGAGCTCGCAGTCTGGTGCACCTCGGCAGTGCCAGCAGGGAGGGTCACCCCCAAAGGCTCTCCTCCCCCTGCCTGGCACCCTTCCCCCAGTGCAGGAGGCGGCGGCGGTGGCTCTGGATACTAAAGGGTTGGGTATTGGGGGAGGGTGGATCCTCAGGGCCCAGGATCTCGGCCCTGCCACCCCAGACCTTTCGTTGCTGTCGGAAGCCACCCCGCCGCCTCCCTCCTGCCCTGGAAGATTGATTGATATTTACTGAAGAGTCCAGGGACTGTGCAAGAGCCATCTTCTCTCCCCCTGCAATCCGAGTGGGAGGGGATGAAGGGGAGTGGGGGATTGGAAAGGAGGGTCCTGGGAACTGGGGTCAAAAAAGGATTTAAGGGGGCTTGGTGATCTCAGCGCCTTTTCTGCCCTTCCCTTTAACATCGCTCCCCCACAGGATGGGGTTCCGGATGCCTTGGAAACTTAAAAGGGGGAATAAAAAATTTTAAATGTCCCGCTCACGCTGGAAAGGGGCGCGACCACAGCACATTTTCTGCAGCGCGATTCTGACATGCATGCAAGACCCCAGCCCTGGGCAGATGCACCTTGCTAGAAGCATTAGTTTAGCTTGATTGCCCAAACTCAAGATAAACTGTTTTCTCTTCCTTCTCTCCCCCTTCACCCCCCCATCTAGTTTTGATTAACCGTTCACTTCTGGTCTCCTGGCAGTCGGCCCCAGGCCCAATCACAAGGTGGCCAGAAATACAAAAACTTCCTGTTTACAGCCCAGACCTGCCCCTGCTACTGAGCAGCCCTGGTTCCAGTGATGGAACCCGAGAGGAATTTGTGGATTCCACTCATACAGATGTTGGCAAAAGAAAAAAAGAGAGATCAGAGTGCTGGCAGTATGGGAAGTTCAACAGAAAGAACATCAAAAAGAAATGAGCCCCCACGCTGGGCTGATTTTTTTTCTCCCCGAATAGAAAGGTTTTTGTGAGAGGTTGCCCCCAAGTAGATCTGATCAGTAAATAACACTCGTGTATTTACTCAAGGGCAGAAGTTGGGGGAAAAGGTATTTCTGGGAAAATAGACTTTGACCCTAGCTAGGAGTTTGAACTTTGTTCTGTCAGCAGTGGGGAGCCATGGAAGGTTTTTGTGTTGGGGAGTGGGGGTGATAAAGTGTGCTTTATTTAGCAAGATGAATGGGAGAGGGAGAAGCAGAAACACCACTGGCAAGGAGACCAATTGGAGGTTATCTGGCTGTGAATTGTTAAAGCCTTGGAGTTAGGTGGTAATAATCAAAATGGAAAGATGTAGAAAGTCGTGAAGAAAGAATCAGTAGGGTTTGGTGACTGGTTATAGAGGAGGATAAGGGAAAGAGAAGAGTGTAAGAGGATTTCAGGTTTTGTGCCTGGGAGATAGAAATAGGGCAGTCAGGTAAAGGACTTGGTTTGAGGGGGAAAGATAAATACATAGAGACAGAATTTTATAGCCCCAAAAGGATTAGAGGTCTGGAAAGGATGTAATTTGGAGCCATTAAGACTTGGACTCAAGGCCCAGCCAATTTTGCCATTTACTATACTAGCTCTGTGACCTTAGGCAAGTCACTTAACTTGTGAGTCTCAATTTTCTTCTCTATCTGTGAATTCATTTAAATAAGTATGCATTTTAATTCCTGTTCTGTTTACCTTAATAGGGCTATTATGAGAATTAAATTAGTTTACAAATGTGAAAATATGAAAACACTTTATAAATTCTAAAAGGATATACAACTCACTAAAAGGTGGTAGTGTGATTATCATCTATCTCATTTTACAGATTTGGACCCAGAGTTTTGGCCAATGATGAAGTGAAAAGAACAGTAAACCTTTTAAGTTAGGTGACCCAGTTTCTAGTCTTTGCTCCCTCTGACACTACCTAAAGGTAAATGACAAGCAAATAATCTTTTCAGAGTCTCAGCTTCTTGATCTGTAAAATCAGCTGGCATCTAAATTTGTGTTTCAACTCTAAACCTCACATCAGTGTTGTGTACCCAAGATAGGTTGTCTTTAACTTTTTCTTCTTCAGTTAGAATAGGGAAGAGACTTTTATATTTATCTTTATCAACGAATTCACACATCCAGTCCCTATCCCTAACCTAGAGGGCCTTCCCATGTAATGAGCACTTAATAAGTGAATGTCTCTTGTTACACTTTTTGTTTCCACTATCATTCCTCTACCCTGAAATGTGACCCCTTTTCAGATTTCACTCAAAATCCCTTCTTTTTTAAAACTTAGGTCCATGATGTCCTCCTCTGAACCCCTAGCGCACTTAATCCCTATCCTATTCATTCAGAAATTAGTCATGTGGTTCCTTTTGATGATTTTTAAAAATATTTTTCATGTTTTCATTTCATTTCCCCTCTCTATTTAACATTTCAAATATCTGTACCTTGAATCCCCAACCAGACTGTTAACTCCTGGAGAGCAAGAACCTCATACCAGATATCCCCAAGAAAGATTAGGATAGTGCTCAATAAATGTTTGTTGATTGATCTCTTTTGTTGATTTGAGCTGTTTTCTTTCTTTTCAGATGCCCCCTCAAACTCTCTGTGTTCCTTCAACTCCCTGCTTGCTCTTTATTTTTCTTCTTTCTCTTTTCCCATTCTTTCCTTCCTTCCTCCCTCCTTTCTTACTTGCTTCTCTCTCCATCTCTCCCTTCCTCCCTCCCTCCCTCTCTTTCCTTCCTTCTTTCCTCCATTCCTTCTTCCTCCCTTCTTCCCTCCCTCTTTCCCTTCCTTGTTTCCTTCCTCTCTCCCATCTTTCCTTCCTCCCTCACTTTTTGTTCCTTTCTTTTACCTCCCTCCCTCCCTTCCTTACTTCCCTCCTTTCTTTCCTTCCTGTTTAGTTTTTGGGAGCAACATGATGCAGTACAAATACTTCTAGACTAGAAATTAGGTTACCTGAATTCTGGTTAGTAGCAGAGCTGGGACTGTGAGATCTTAGACAAGTCATTTAATTTCTCTGGGCCTCAATTTTCTTGTTTGTAGAATAAGAACATTGGACTAATTTAGCTCCAAAACACTGTGATATAGGTATCCATTTACCTATACCCTCCTTCTCTATGCCATCAAGATTTTACCGATAGAATGTGGAAATGGAGAAATTTCATCCATCAATAAAAATGGACTGGTTCACTAGGAAGGCATTTTTTGGGGGTGGGGGTTCTTCAGGTTTTTTAAAAAAAAAATAATTTTCACCCATTTTTACCTGAAGTACTGAGCAGCTCATTTCAGTTTATACTCCAAATAGGGAACTTAAGGATATTTTCTGGAAGAACAATTCCTCTCCTTCTTTCAAATAGTTTTGAAAAAGAGTAGATGAAGTAGATACAGTCTCTAGTTCTCTCCTTCTACGTCCTGGGATACCTTCTGTCTTGAAGGATTTTGATACAAAATGAAAAAGTCTTTTTTTTTTTAAGTCAGTGACGCTAATAAACAGTGTTATTGAAGTTGTTGGAGGTATTGTTTAAGATTAAACATTCTGATACAGGGTTTTGCTCATGTCACTGCCAACTAAATACAGTCTCTTCTTGGCGTTTAAAGTCTTCTATAATCTGGCTCTAACCTACCCCTCCAAGCTTATCTCACATTAGTTCTTTACATATTTCCCCTCCATCTTAATGTGATCATTCACCATTTCCTGAAATCATACCCTGCTCTTCTCCTCTGTGCTGTTGGTTATGGTGTTTCCTAATATCAATCAGAACGTCGAAGAACCTAAAATTCACTTCTATGAAGAACTGTTGAAGGAACTGGGGATATTCAGCCTGGAAAAGAGAATGCTCAGAGTGGAGGTAGGATTGGTGAAGAAACATGATGGCTGGCTTCAAGTATTTGAAGAGTTGTCGTGGAAAGGGGACTAGACGTTCTCTTGGGCCCTACAGACAGAATCTAGAACAGTGGATGGGAAGCTGCAAGGAAGTCAATTTAATCTTAACGGAAAGGAAAAAAATCGATGGCAAAGTAGAATGGGCTGCTTTGGATTATCAGGTGTGTTATAGTGAAGATTCTTTTTTCAGGGGCAGGTTGGATTAGTCCTTTCCAACTCTGAAACTGTAATTCTATAAACTAGCTTTCAATGAAGAGAGAAGGAATGAAACACTTAGGACCAACTGTTCCCAGATAAAGATTCCAACCCCAGGACACATAACATTTTGTCTTTTTCCACTTGAAAATGGACAAAGTGTTTCTCTCTCTCATCCCCCATCCCTACCCTCTTCTAATTTAGCTGAGTACTAGTAGATTCAAAAGTGTAGCCCAGATTTATCATTTGTTTGAGTAGTAAAGATCTGCGTAGTTTGAATAGTAAAGATCTGCATTTTCCACATCAAAAAGGCAAGCATTAGTTTCATTCTAATTCAGTTGCTGGCCCTCCAAAGCAGTCCTCCCTCTGAGGCCAGGAAGAAAATGGATAACAAAAGGACAAATTCTCCAGAGGTTGGCACCTCGAGCTTTTCAAGAGCACACGGGAAAAATGAGACTTTTACCAACCAAACAGCTTTTCACATAAACATTTTGGACATTGTTACCTTTTTTTCTGTATTCCTTCACATATTTGTCTAAATTAAGGTTACCCAATGAGAAATAATAGGTGTGTTTCAAATTAATTTGATTGGCACTCAGTCTTGTGGAGAAGACTGCATGCCTGAACCATTAAAGAAAAAGAAAGAAACTGAGTTACCACAAGATGGGTTGGAAAGTTTTATTATGGCTAAAAAACTAGCTGATAGAAAACAAAGGTTAAAATAAATAGGTCTTTCTTGGATAGACAAGTGTTAAAAGTGATCTCCACTAGGAAGAGTCTTTTTTAACCTTTTCGTAAGTACTCTAGAAGAGAGCATATACAGTAAAATTTCAAAGTACAAATTATATTAGCCCTTCCAGGTAGTAAAATCCCAGGTGGACTGGGATAAAGTAAAGAGGTCATCAACCTTTGCAAGCCAGTGGAAAATGGCAAATGAGCTTCATTTCGCGTAAATGTATACAGAAAAATAAATCTAACCTGCATTTAAGTGATAGCCTTGGGGCTTCGAGGTATAACTTTAAGTTCAGAAGAACTGAGTTCAACATCTGGCTCAGCCAGTAACTATAGCTGTATAATT